ACTTCTTTCAATTCTAAGGTGGTAGTTCTTATTTGTGAAGCTGACAGAAGTGCCTGAAACATGTGAGAGTAATGCCATGTGTGCACATGTATACACTTCTGGGGACTCTTGAGGCCCCTCACACCATTTATTCCATGGACCTTAGGTTAAGACTCCCAGTTCAAAGGAATCATTTTATTGCTGCTCTGGATTGCTGTGCCCACTGCCCCCATTTCTAGCCCAGTGCTTTCTATAGATCAGATGATTAGTAAATTTTGGCAGGTAGACTTTGGGAGTAAACCAAGACCTGAAATTTAATTCTAGCTCCCTAGAACCCCATGAAAACATTCAGCAGATAACTTCAGTTGGTAATAGGCTGAGGTAAGAAAAGACAACAGTCTATTTGTTGAAAGAGCATAAGGTAATGACTTGTTGCCAGAATGCAGTAACCTCTGGGGACAATTGTTAGACAGATTAGGGCCTGCCAGAAAGATGATGCTAGGGCCCTACCATAGAAGAAGGGAAGGGAGCTCTTGGGGTATGTCTATATCCCAAGGCTCTTGGGCTAGAAAGGATTAACCTGCATTTCTTCTCTCTTGGTTCAGATTGCCCAGCTGCCCTTGACTGGAAGCACAAGTATCATCTTCTTCCTGCCTGGGAAAGTGACCCAGAACATGACCATGATAGAAGAGAGCCTCACCTCTGAGTTCATTCAGGACATAGATCGAGAACTGAAGACTGTCCAAGCAGTCCTGACCATCCCCAAGCTGAAGCTGAGTTATGAAGGCGAAGTTACCAAGTCTTTGCAGGACATGAGTATGTTTGCAGGATCCCTTTTTTTTTTTTTGAGACAGAGCCTCAAGCTATCGCCCTGGGTAGAGTGCCATTGTGTCACAGCTCACAGCAACCTCAAACACTCAGGCTTAAGCAATTCTCTTGCTTCAGCCTCCCAACTAGCTGGGACTTAGGGACCCACTGCAACACCCAGCTACAGGATCCCCTTTGTTCTTGGTGGATGGGGTTGAGTCTTTGAGCTATTTTTTTTTTGAGACAGACTCTCAACTCTGTTGCCCAGGCTAGAGTGTCCTAGT